TTGATGATAGATACTTACTCAAGTACAATATGTTTCTTTCTTTTTCATCTACTATTTACTTGACACAGACCAAGAAATATGATTGCGTTTTACTCAATTACTCAACAATTACTTAGGTAAAAAATACTTGGAGTTTACTTAAGTAATACTTAGGTGATAAGTGCTAGACAACTAATTTCTTGCTTTATGCAAACTTAGGTATCACTTAAGTATTACTTGAGTATTACTTAATTATAAAATGACTTTCTCGAGAAAAGTTGCCATAGATTTACCGGACCTGCTATCTGACCCTGTTAAGCCCGTGCAGCCCAGATCAAAGCGGCGGGAAATCGATCGCAAATCGATCGTGGGAATCGACCGATGTCGATCGATCGATGACCTGGGTTGGACCTTTGAAGTAACGGGACTTGGCGAAGCTATTAGCAACACCCTTAACACACTGTAATGTGTCCCAGAGGAAAGGAGTGGAAGAAGGGCAGAGCGGAGTGAACGCACAGCCGCAAGTCGATCGCAAATCGATCGCAATGTCGATCAATTGATCGGCGGAGATGTCGGAAATAAGAATAGAGAAGATCAGCTAGGCTAAGTTGATTTTCGAACTAAAGTTACAATACATGGTATACTACTTAAATACTAGTGAGTTCGGATAAACGGATAAATGTAAAGAACAATAAGTAATATATATCCGGGAGTGTATTCAGTAAGTATAACAATAAAGTAATTCAGTAAGAAAGACAAAAGAATATAAGAGGAATAAAACAATAAGTATCGGAAAGTGTGTCTAAACATGAAAGGGATGTTTCCGAAGGTAAAGGGCAGCTATCAGATCGATATGTCGATCAATCGATGGCGATTGATCGGAAATCGGCGGCAAGTGTCGATGGTCGGCAGCGAGTGTCGGACGTCGGCAACGAGCGGTGATGATTGTAGGGATATAACAGTAGTTACATCGAAAGGTTGATTGATCAATGGCAAATGATCGGAAATCGGCGGTAAGTGTCGGAAATGATCGGTGATGATAGCATGGATATAACAGACCCGGGTCAGTCGGAGTCAGTGACAACACTGACTGAGTACAAGTAGCTATAGGAACATGCTGTTGCGACTTCAGTTTTTGTGCTCCCTTGGAGCAGCAAATTGGATGCACCAAGATATTCTCCAGAACAAAAAGCATTGACAGGATCACCACCCCTCTTCTTATCATTCTTAACAAGAGGAATTGAAACCTTCTCCCTCACCTGAATTGCAGTTCAACCTATGTTTTCGCTGGATTGTCCTACCAGAATCAGCGCAATTCCAGCTACCTCGATGCTCTGCTGCAGAATCAGAAAATTGTTTTAATTGTCTTTTGGCTATCTCAATTGTTTTTGGCTGGAGTCATTTAGGTAGGCTAAATTGTTCAATGATTTGCATAAAGACTGACATTCTTTAGCATTATATGCTTAAGTACCTCCTCCCCCCACATGGACCCACATTCCTTTTGTATCTTTTATTTCAATCCAATAATTCAACAACTCACTCTACAATGACCCATTGCAATGTACCCATAGAGGACCTAAGTCTGAATATGAGCCAGCACCAGTTTGATGTTGCTGTCCCAAGCTCCTCTGAACCTGCTAGCATCAGGAAAAATGGTCTGGGCCAAGGATAGCCTAGGTAACCTAAGCCTCCTGGGTTACAGGGGCTGGACTTGGGATGGCCTAGGCAGCCTAGGCCTTTTAGGTTACCTAGGACTACCTCAGGCTGCCTGAGGTTTCCCCAGGGTTCCTCCAGGTTTTCTCAGGTTTTCTCAGGCAACTCAGGTTGTCAAAAGTCCACCCCCTGATTCCTAGGTCATCCTAAAGGAACCTAGGCAACCTAGGTGTCTTTGAGTTACCTTGAGGTTAACTTCAGGCCATCCAAGGCCCAAACAGTTTTTCCTGATTAGTAATGGTATTGTCCTTGCTTCCACTCAATTCTGCCTTATGAAACATCATCTTGAACGTGATGGGACCAAGAATCAGGAGTCTCCTCCAAAACAGCATGCTGTAGTTGGACCTGAAGGGCATTTGATAAAGTACGGTTTCTTTGCTCTTTTTGTTTGATCTCTGGCTGACTACCAAATTTACAGCTTCAGATGCAAAACAAAGATCTTGAGGGTAACACCAATTATCTTGAACACTGCCACCACCAGCTTCAAAGCAGCAGCAAGATGCATGGCTTTGCTGTGAGAGGTATTGTCAATAAAATCTGCAAGCAATGATACATAAAATTCTGCATCAAGCTGTGGCATCTAAAATTACCTGAATTTCCATAATCTTCTTTGTTGCTCAGTTCCTTGTCACTGTCTACCTGGGCTTCAAGTTCAATGAACTGAGGTGTCAAAGATTAGTTCTTTTTGTTTTTCTGGGTTACTGCTGTCTCCTGAAGCCAACATCTTTTGAATATCCCGTGTAGACTGTCAGTAGTCTTTAGTCTTTTGTTTAGATAGATTAGAATGCAGGCACTGGCCAATGTTGACCTCAATCAAATCTTGGCGATTTTTCACTTTTATTGATGGCAATCGCCAGGTATGCTCTACAGAGAGAGGGGCATACTCACCGTGAAGGTTGTTAAGGAGGCTTACGTCCTGCGTAGGTGTGCAGAACAAAACAGATTCAGCCATAATTTGAACTGCAATGAGATTTCAATGGTCATACTTATAATGTACAATGCTCTTGACTACAGAAATATCAAAGAACAATTGATCCTGCAACCGACTAATGGGTATTTGTCAAGGCAAACACTGCTGGTGGTTGACTTGCTCTGGATACCTGCATTGAGATGTGTGGCAGTACACCTGGACCAACAACCTTGATCCCCACGTAGATGTGCTTCGCTAGGAAAAGAGTGAGCAAGGCATTGAAGCAAGTCATGATGATAACCACTCACAGTCATTAACAGTGACCTGCTTGTCAGAGTGATGAATACAAAAATTTACCATATGCAACTCATAATTTGGCCATTGTTCAGTATATTTCCCCCACTTGCTGACCCAAGCTAGATGCTTGAGCAAATTTTCGCTATCACAAAGCAGTTCTATAACCCATTCCCTTGAGCTGACTAGAAAATCAGCATAGCCAGCCCCAAATCCTTCCCCACGGAGCCTGTAAGCCTGAGGAGTCAGAAAGTGGGTGCCTGCAAGTTTCTCAGTACATCAATGAAACTCTATCTCATAGCTTCTTTCGCAAATAGAAGGACCCTCAGCCAACAATTCAGGCTTCCCTTGTTTCTAACAAGCAAAGTGTAACAATCCAGTATCTAATATGATTGAAATCCACAGGAAATCCATGGAGCCAGGACCTCTGGCACCCCTTGGCCATGGATTCCAGCAGGTGAGCTATATATGAAGTGTAGCGCCTATGCAGTGTGACAGTGTGACACATGTCACTATGGAAAATCAACTATTAGACTCTATAATTCCCCAAAAAATCATGAAAAATAGTGAAAATATTCAGGTGATGGGTTTGCAGCCTGCACATGGCTTTTTGTAGTCTGTGGAATACAGATCCCTGGAATCCATGTTGTACTATGATTACTATTCAAATCTGTCATAGAGCTACAGTGGCTGCCAATGTATGGCACCTATCAATAGTTTAAGTGACATTCCTCCACATGTCACAATATCATGTCACAACTTATGTGACATGTTTAAGATAATAAACATAATCTAAAATATCATCCAGATACCGTGCACACTGCCAATAATTTATTTCAATCCCTATACAAAGTGTACTTTTTCAGAAAAATGTAGAAGTCATATATTTCAATAGAGCAATGAATAAATTGAATTCCGACATTCTGAATTGAGAACTTTATATAGATGTGCAAAAGAGAAGCTTTCAATTGGACTCTGGAAACAATAGATTCAATGTGGACTTGAAAGCCCTGCTTTCACAATAAGAGTGAAAGTAATTGTTTCGAAGAACAATTCAATTTTTCACTGAAATATTGCCTTTCGCTGTGCGGTTTGGCAGTGGCCCGGATCGGCCTGAGCATCAAAGTATTGTCTTCTGGGAACCAGCTGAAAGGTTCTTCAAAATAGCTGCTTTCACTCTTATTGTGAAGTAAAAGTATTCAGTCCATTGAAACTATTGTTTTTAGAGTTCAATTGAAAAGCGCTCTTTCGGAAGTCTGTTTAAAATTCAAAATTCAGAGGGTCTAAATGTAATTCCTTCGTAAGTTCACTGAAATATTTATTTTATATACTTGTATGAAAAAGGACATTTATCTTATGCATTGAAATAATTCATTTCTCACAGTACTTCAGCCTGGCTGAAGTATAATCATTGGCGGTGGGATGAGGCTGATGTGATATAATTACAGCTATGTCACACAATGTGACAGTACCATATCACATTCCTTTGAACAAGACACTTTACCATTGGCATATTCACACAGCTTAAAACAGCAGGTGTGATACACGTCACACTGTGTGACATATTCTATGACTGATATACTCTGAGTTAGAGTTGTTAAGCAACACCACTACACTGTAAAATGATATACAGTCTGGAATCCATAGGACTATCAAATATAGTACACTATGGAATCCATAGGACTAGTAAATATAGTACACTACGGAATCCAGAGTACAGTATGGAATCCATAGAGTATTAAATATAATACACTATGGAATCCATAGGACTATTAAATATAGTACACTACAGAATCCAGAGTATGCTATGGAATCCATAGTACAGTATGGAATCCATAGACTAATTAATATAGTACATTATGGAATCCATAGACTAGTAAATACAATACACTCTGGAATCCAGAGTATAGTATGGAATCCATAGACTAATAAATATAGTACACCATGGAATCCAGTACACTATGGAATCCATCAACTTGTAAATATAGTAGTACTCATTATGGAATACATGATTGAACAAAAATATAGTGACTTTGGCATTTCATAAATGCCCTCAAGCACTTCAGTTTGTATACATAATTAGAACTTACTTGAGCCCGAGTTATGCCCCAATCTGGAGTTGAACCAGAGACCTCCCAAATATTAAGTTGCTTACCTCAGTAGCTTGGATGCTCTACTACCCGAGCTATTAGAGCAATTGCATATTGCCTACTATTTTGCTCAAGTACTGAGTATCACATTTATCATCACAATTCCCAAGTCCTTTAATACATAAGTAAACTAAAAAAATACATCCCCATCCAATTCCAGCTCAGCCCAATCAGCTACCTCTAAAGCATCCAGACGCTCCAGCAGTCCAGGGTCTAGCACATCCAGGTCTGACTCCTTAGATGAAGTTAACTCATCATCATTGTCCTGCTCCTCAATTGGCTCATCTTCAGTTCCCATACCTCACTACCAAGGTCACACTCCATTGCATCCAGCTCCTCAATGGGAGGAGCCCATTTTGGCAACTGCATGTCCTCTGGCATATCCTGCATTGCTGCACAGTTGTGAAAGTTCTGCCTTGCGTTCATGAAAATGATAAAGCAAAACTGCATCACCTAGATGTCCGTAAAATAAGTCAGGAGATCACAACCTTGAATTATCACAAACCTAGTGCCATGACTTCCTGAATAGCCCGCTGAAGCACAGTCCACTCCTTCTCCAGCCATTCAAATAAGGATTGATGTTCTCTTTGCAACCAGTGCAACTCCTCCTCACACTGATCACACTCAAGTATTGCCTTTATACCCTTTTGCACCTTATCATTGCATTACCACTCAGGCAGAGCCCCTGTGTGTGCGGTATCATCCAGCCCTACATCCTGCCATACTGCATCATCTACATCCAGTACAAACAGTTCTTTCAAAGGTATAGGCTCAGTGGCAACTGCATTCCGAGGTGCTGACTGCCTTCCAATGAGGACACACATTTTCTCACACAATGAATTGTATTCTTTTGCTAGCTTGGTGATACTGGGCTCATGACATTTCACCGAGTCCTCAGTGTGCCCTTGTATCTTACGTTCTGTTTAGTTAAACAAATGATTAATAGGTAATGTATAGAAAATGTTAAACATACCATTGTACTGTTGACGACGTACTGCCATACTGCACGCTCTACACAATCCCATTTGAATTTTCAGGCTCTCAACCTGTCTCATAGCTGGATTTTCTTGGCCTGTGCATTCATATGCAAGGTAATAAACTCACTGGAAGCCAGATGTTGGTACGTGTTCATCTGGTCTACACCCAGTGCCCTCTCCATGTGCAGAAGAGACCGTTTCTTGTCCTTGAGCTCCTTCATAAGACCTGGCAGCTTCTCCTGGGCTTCTGTCATTAGGTAGGTCTGGTGCCCATTGCCCATAGTCACTATGACTACAGCAACATAATATGATTTTACAATTATTTTTGTCCATTTTTGGTCTTGCAAAATGCAACAAAGCAATTCAAAAGATTAATACATTTGAATTGAATAGAGCCATTCCACAATCAAATGCCTCAAAACCGGTGCATTCCATAGCAACCCATAGCAGTCCATAGCAATCCATAGTTCTGGACAGAGGGGTACCTTGATATGGCTGCTATGGCGGCTATGAGTGCTGCACAGAACTGTCCAGTTCTATGCAGCACACCCAGGTTTTGCTGATGCAAACTTCAAGATCTTTGCTGATAAGGCATGATTTGTATAGTGTTCAATGTGCCTAAGAAAAATTTCATGACTTTTCAACTCTACACTTCCATATATCTACACCAAGAAATCTTCCGATAATTGCTCACTCTTCCCCTTTCATCCCAATAGTATACCTATATATATGCCAAAAACACCCCACTGAAGATATCACCTTCCTTCTGACCCTTATCTCTCTTATTCGAGCTTGTTATAGTCATGCATTGCATAAATGAATTTTCAATAGCTAGGAATTTAAATCAGATCAAGAGAACATCCAGAGGAAGTGAGAGCTTTTTGCATAACAGTATCCACATGATGGAAAAATTGGCAATTGAAGATAATTGAGTATGAAAGGTTACTCCCTCTCTGCCATATCAACCTTTAGTTTGCCCAGCTCCTTCAATAAAGGAAGCTTCTCCTCCAATGCTTCCACAAACCAACTTGATACTCCCTTCAATACAATATTCGCCATTTTGAGAGAAGCAAACACTGGCTTTGCAAACAGGATATTGAGGGTAGCATATTAGTCACATTCTGACTCCCAATCAGCGCATGCGTGCGCAGTGGCGACAGATATGATGAGAGTAAAATGACGTAAGGGGTGTGTATGCCCATCCAGATTCAGAACAGGTTCAAAAAAAGAACAAATCCAAGGAATGATGTTTCTGGCACTGTCGCGGCTATACTTATTACCCAAATCCAACATGAAACTGTCCAAATTTGGTAGGTGTCCTAGATGAAAGCTGCATTCTGCGAAAGGAGGATCAGAGAATGAAGTAATATGTAGACAATATTTTAGCGCACCTTTGATCCCATAATGGTACTGCATCTTCAACTTTGTAAGATTATGAGCAGCCCGCTGCACCAAGAAATCTGCCAATGGCCTCATGCTGGTGGCTGAGTCCAAACATGCACGCAAAAACTGCAGATCCTGAACTTCGAACGGGCATGTTTCTTGTTTGAACCAAGGAATGAGGCTCATCAATGCACTGGTGGTCACAACAAGCTCATTGAGCTTGATTGACCTTGGAGGAGGATTGGCTATCAGATCCGAGGAGAGTGGCAAATTTGTATTGGCACAATACATGCTTTCAACTGTTAATGCCCTCAAGTATGTTGCATGGCTTAACAAAGAAGCCAGTTCAACAAAATTGGAGAAATAACAGTGCTGAATGGTGACCCGAGTCAATAGACCTTGCAGGCCCATTACAATGGGACCCGTATTTTACGGTCATGGTCCGTTACACGTTTGCACGTAGCCCACCTTCCTTGTCCCCTTCTAAATGGGTCCTTTGTCTCATTCTAATGGGTTGTCTCATTATAATGAGTGCCCTGTCCCCTCAGCCCTGGTCCCTTTGTCTCAGTATGAGCTCCCCTGTTCCTGTTTGAGAGCTAAAAACATAGAAAAATCTGACAGTTCTAGATTTTTCGAGACAATTCCAGAATGTCAAGAACCATACCACCGACGCATCCGCCGACCTACCGACCCATCAATTCATAAGCGCATATCACATGAAGCGGTGCCAATTTACCTATATTAGGACAGTACGGTCCTTGAGAGAATATGGTCGCGGAGCACTAGAGGACCCGATCCTGGAATCCATTCTACTTAATATTACACTAATTGAAACATATTTAGGCATACACACTGGAAGTAAGTAGCCATAGTTCCAAATCAGACCTGAGACTTTAGTTGTATATTCCGAGTCCTTACTTTATGTAAGGAAACTCGGTTCTTAGATGTCAGGTTTAGTGTGGGATTTTCACCAAGACTTGTAACTGTGCAGATCTCCATTAGGAAATTTTAGACGCTCTAAGATTTTTAAGCGCTTTTTATGTTTTTGAACGTCATCCATATTATTGGAGTGGAATCCAGCTTATACTCACCATCGGAATTAGTGCCTAACTTAATAATCATGCAGTCTGTTGGAATATCAAAGGTAAATATATTCTATTGAACTATACATGGAACGCTTTCTCGTAGTATCCACTTGTTTGTATCACCATCCCATGCACTCCACTGTTATCGTCTCGCAGACTCCACTCAGTCTCTCACCGTATCCACTTGCTCTCTCGCAGTACCCACTTTACCGTATGGACAGTAGCCACAAGTATTCACGCAGTAGCCACTTGCCCGATATATTGTTTGTACTTAGGACTGTATATAAGCCTAGGTAGCATACCCTGTAATAACACCGTCGTCCCCCATCGATCTGTGAGATTGTTACTACTAAGTCTTGTGTGGACTTACTGCTGCTACTTCCTATTTAGAAACATAACTTTGATAGGTTATGGGCCCCGGCCTTAACCATTGATGCATCATATTGCCGTAACGCTTGTTCATGCCACCCAGGCCAGACCCTCCACCACTACGAACTTGACAGGAGATAAAATCATCACAACAAGCACCACCACCAGTAACTTGACAACATTCCATCACATCGGAACAAGCCAGCTCATCGAGTAGCAAAGCTGTAACGCCACAGCAGAGATCAGCACCATTACCTCCCACAGATGACACTGTTCCTTGTAAAGGACACCCACACATCTTTGACATCAACAAATTAGTCAACAGGTACAAGAACCGAACCACTGGAAAGTGGAGCCAGTGCAACAAACAACATTGCCTAAATTGATACGACGTACCTTGGACAGGTAAATTAGTGAATTTTGCGAAACCCATTGCGAAAGATCAGGAGGCAATTATCAGAACCCACCTACAACACATTGCAGACGATGACAAAGATGACGACGAAGAAGAGGATACTGAAGCACCTGTTGCTCAGCCTATAGCATCATCCTCACAACAGCATACTCCCGCTCCATCCCAATCACCTGCACCGAAACACGAACCAACTCCACCTACACCTCCACAACCATCTCCACAGGGCACCGCACCCCAATTTCCATATTCAAATACGGAACCACCTTCTCCACACAGATCCCCATCTCCATCAGATCCTGGATCACCAGGCGCTTTAATTGCTGATTCTGACAATGACAACGAAATGTCAAAAGCAAACAAAGCCTTTGATAAGGTTACAACCTTAAAGTCGGACAGATCAAATTGGGACACGTGGAAAACTCGAGTGGAATTTGCAGCCAGATCTATCGGCTATCAGCGTTATTTGGAATGGAATCCGCAACCTGATCTTGCCCAAGGATCAAACGACGAGCATAGAGGAAAGGACAGTGATTTGCTTAATGCAATCATTGGTAGGTTATCGGATGGAATATTCCGAAGGTATAGGCACTACAACAACACGAAGCAGTTGTGGGAAAATTTACTCGCTGATTATGATTCTAAAAACGCTCTTACTGAATCATTTTTACAAAGATGACTTCACACTATGCGATGCACGGACCCATCCAAGGTCAATAAACATTTGGACGATATGATCAGCATCCGCGACGACCTCACGAATAGGGGAATTGATATCAATGATGATATATTTGTCAACACCATTATGTCCTCTGTCCC